GTATCACCTCTTCAGCTTGGATCCAATTGTGGATTTATTTACAAACATCAAATGCCTTCAAGCCAATCCTTTTTGCTGTATGTTTTGCAGCCTACTGTAGTAGATAACGCAACAGATAATGTGGGGAAAAAAGAGATAAGAGGAGGAAACTCATAAGAGACTGTCAAGATTGTATACCTTCTTGGTTTCTTTTAAGAATTTGTTGCCTTTCTACTATTACAGCAAAGCAGCATTTTGTTACTGACTGCCTAAATCACTTAATCTCAGGTGAACGCATCACTTGCCAAACTGTTGGAATGCTATTTGTGTTTTGTTGCACTGTTTTTTTTTTTTGTTTGTTTGTTTATTTGGTTGGCTTTTTGGAGAGGGAAATTTGGAAACGGGACATACACAAAAGTTATACCCACCCACATTCCCTTTTTATCATTACCTACAAGAAGAAACTAGCAGAGCTAAGAATGGAGTGAAGAAAGGCAGTATGGCAGGCACCAGAAAAGAGTTGAGGGCTGTTGCTCTTAAAAGTTATTATTTTTTATTATTATGTTAAAAGTATGGAAGTTTTCCAGTCACTGGGGAAAGGAGGGAAAGTGCATTTATTTTTATACAGAGTTACTTAATTACCTCCAAAACACATATGTTGGAAATCGTTTTTGCTGGTGCAAAGTATATTAATGAGCAGGAATACATATGTTGATGTTATGGTGAGAGAGCTCAATTTATACCTTTGCGATCTTGCTCAAGTTTGATATAGCATGAAAACTCAACTTTATTCCAAAAGTATATAATTTCAAATTTTAAAATACTAGAAAGTTTGCTGTGATAAATCTTTTGTATTTTTGTGTTTTTCTAATGAAAATACTGTTTTTCATTACCTAAAGAACAATTTGCTAAACATGAGAAATCACTCGCTTTGGTTATATATGGAGGAAGAACAATCACATCAGTAAATTATAGTTTATATTAAAGGTAATTTTCTTTTGGCTCATAACAAATATACCAGCATTCATGATAGCATTTCAGCATTTTCCAAGATACCATGTGTACTGATTTTTTTTCTTGTTGTTGTATTTTAGAAGGAATTCAGCTCTGATGTTTTTAGTGAAAACCAGCATCTCTGATGTTACGACATATGTGTGAAATGGGTGTTACATCTATCCTGCCATTTAACCCCACAGTTAATAAAGTGGTTGAAAATAATAGTAGCTCTGGCTTGGTGCTTGACCTGGTTAAATACTGTCTTAAAGCTTCATACAAAACAAATAGGCTTTTCCATAAGTGGCCTTTAAGAAAACATGGAAGACAATTCATGTTTGAAAAATGCTGACAGGGTGAAGAAAGCCCAGTGTAAAAATGAATCACGTTTTAAGTGATTCGGTTAAAGGCTTTGGGCTCCCGTAGCAAACTAATACTAGATAATAAGGAAATGGGGGTGAAATATTTTTTTATTGTTAAATCATTTTGTGAATGTCCCCCTCAAAAAAAGCTAATGGAATATTTGGCGTAAAGGGCATTTGGTGGTTTTATTTTTGTTTGGGGGGGATTGTCAGAAAATCCCTTTTCTTTTCTCTCTTATGTCTAACTGACTAGGGAACAACTGTTGATATGCATAGCATTGGAATACTTGTCATTATATACTCTTACAAATAACACATGAAGCAAGAATGACCAATATTCTGATAATTGGCACTGGATCACCAAATGTAATAAAACTTTAAATTTATAAAACTTTATCAAATAAAGTTTTATTTTCCCCATTAAAGTATTTCTTTACTCTTATTTAGAGGCATTACTTTTTAAAATATTGGTCAATTCCTGACATAAGATGTGAGGTTCACAGCTGTATTCCAGTATTCAAGATAGAGTCCTGATTTTTCAATTAGGAAAAGTAAAATCCAAAATGTTAGCAAAACAAAGTGCAATATTAAATGTTTGCTTTATAGATTATATTCTATGGCTGTTTGTAATTTCTCTTTTTTTCCTTTTTTATTTGGTGCTGAATATGTCCTTGTAGGCTCTGTTTTAAGGAAACAACATGTGGGAAATGATTTAATTTTTCCTATTGCTCTTCCTTGTGGAAAATAAAGTGTTTTGTTTTTTTCTGTTTTGTATAATTGTTTGGAGATTTATTTGAATCTTGATTATATTAGTAACTCACAATACATGCCAACACTATTAAACTCTTACATAATTAAACTCTATTTTAAGCCATTCTGGGTAAGAATTGTTTCTAGATGTGTATGAAAGAAAAAAATGACAAACTCCTAGGCTAAAGCAGTCCTGCCTCAACCTCCCAAATAGCCAGGACTACAGGTGCACACTACCACACCAACCTAATTTTCTAATTTTTTTGTAATTGTGGTCTCTTGTTACCCAACCTGATCTCAAACTCCTGGCCTCAAGCAGTCCTCCCACCTTGTCTTCTCGAAGCACTGGGATTATAGGCGTGAAACACCATGTCCAGACTCTAAATTTCAATCTTAAATATGAACCAAACTTAACCAGGTAAAATAACTAACTTTCAGGTACCAATTCCTTCTCACTGTGTTGTGTTCAAATTACAAGTATTTCAAGAGGACATAAACATAAGTTACATTTTTTTTTTAAGACTGTCTCAGTTTGTCACCCAGACTGCAGTGTAGTGGCAGAATCTCAGCTCACTTCAACCTTGATTTCCCAGGTTCAAGTGAACCTTCTGCCTCAGACTCCTAAGTAGCTGAGACTTAGAGGCGTGTCCCACCACGCCCAGCTAATTTGTGTGTTTTCTGTAGAGATGAGATTTTGCCACGTTGCCCAGGCTGTCTCAAACTCTTGGACTCAAGTGATCCACCCACTTGGCCTCCAAAGTGCTAGGATTACAAGCTCAAACCACCATGCCCAGCCTAAAAATTACATTAATTTCTAATTATAGAAGAATATCCCTGAATTTCTCTGAATTTTAAAAACAGTGAATATTCTTTGTCTTAAAAGAATCTCTGAATATTATAGTGCCTGATAACCTTAGATGTACTTTTGGAATCACATTTTGAATTTTTCTTTCAGTGTTTATATATTCATGCATGAGTTATCAAGTTGTATATGTGCCCTATATGATTCTCCAATATTTCTTCCCAAATATATATTCACATACAAGTTACATTGCAAAGAGGCATCTAGACACACATTTTGGATTTTGTTTTGTTTTGTTTTTTGAGACAGAGACTTGCTCTTTTGTCCAGGCTGGAGTACAGTGATAGGATCACAACTCACTACAGCCTTGACCTCCCAAGCTCAAGGGATCCTCCCACTTAAGCCTCCTCAGTAGCTGGTACTATGGGCATGTGCCACTACGCCTGCTAATTTTTTAAAAATGTTTGTAGAGCTGGTGTCTTGCTATGTTGCCCAGGCTGGTCTCAAACTCTGGTCTCCAGCAATCCTGCTGGCCTCCCAAAGTGTTGAGATAACAGGTGTAAGCCATGGAGCCTGGCATAGGCATACAAATTTATACATTTTGTATGCATTTTATAGTTAATTTTAGTAAGTACTGTCATCCTTTTCATTCAATCAGAAGCCAGCAATAACATAATGTCTTAATATAAGGAATAACAAGCCAGATGCTTAATCCCAGCGCCTCAGGAGGCCGAGGCAGGCAACACCTGAGGTCAAGAGTTCATGATCACCCTGGCCAACACGAGAAAACCCTGTTTCCACTAAAAATACAAAAATTAGCCAGGCATGGTGGCATGCGTCTGCAATCCCAGCTACTCAGAAGGCTGAAGCACGAGGAATCACTTGAACCCGGGACGGGGAGGTTGTAGTGAGCCGAAATCACACCACTTCACTCCAGCCTGGGTGACAGAGTGAGACTCCATCTCAAAAAAAAATAAATAAGTAGTAACAATGACACTGTGAAAGACAGGAATGATAGGATGAGAAGGGTAGACCTAGGTTCTGGGTTCAGTAACTTTAGATGGAGCATTGAACAAAATGCAAGTTGATTTCCTCATCTACAAAGTGAAAAAGTAGCTACCCAAGGTCATTTTCACTACTGGAGGTGTGAGTTTATACATTTTTTTTTTTTTTTCAGGACTGGGTCTCCAATCCTACTGCCCCAGCCTCTAGATTAGCTACCACCACAGGCATATGCCACCATGCCCAACTAATGTTTTGTAGAGACAATTCTTGCTTTGTTGCCCAAGTTCATCTCAAATGATCCTCCCCAGTCAGCCTCCCAAAGCACTGTTACACATCTTTTAAGTAAGAAGATAATGCTCTGCATCAATTAGATAGTCACCACATTGTTTCTAGAATTGTTTTAGAATGCTTTTAGATATTGAGTTCAGTACACATCCCTTAGGTTACATAAGAGCATGAGTTATCTACTGTTTTTGCGTTAACTCAGTTACACTTAATCAAAGTCCTCTTGCCATTAGTTATAATTTGTTGAATGGCTGAACTTGGTATATTTATCAGGACTTTTGGTTGTAGGAGAGGGATAAATCCAGACTAGCTTAAAAAGAAAACTGAATATATTCACTTGTAATTCCAGGAATAAAATATTAAACACATCTGAATCCAGGAAGCCAAATAATACCCTGGGGATGTACTCTTTTAGTGCTTCTCATCTTACCCTCTTTAATATTGGCCTTATTCTATCATATTTGCCTTACTTTTTCTTGTGAGATGGATCAGGAAAGATGACCCCTTTCTTTTTTTTTTTTTTTTTTAAAAGACAAGGTTTCACCATGTTGGTCAGGCTGGTCTTGAATTCCCAACCTCAGGTGATCTACCCACCTTGGCCTCCCAGAGTGCTGGGATTACAGGCATGAGCCACTGTGCCCAGC